TGTACCTTTGGCGCTCAGTGTTGGTCACTATTCGGTACGTGTTGCCCTCCCCCTCCGCGGAGTAGCATCAGGGAATGATAAATGCTGGCCCCCTCCGAGGAGGAGCATCAGGACAGGAGAAGGATGCAACGGATGAACGGCTGGATGCATAGTATGAGCGCAGTGTTAAGGCCAATGGTCGCAATACTGATCATGGCGGGGATGGCGATAGTTGTAGTGATATTAGCAGCGATGATCTGTAGAAGGTGACAGTGACGGTGTAGACGACGGGAGATGGCGACGATGCCGACGACGATGTTCATGATGGTGCTGATGACCAGAGGGAGGACGACGAGAACGGACTGCACGCAACGTTCCGCCTTCGCCGGTGTTTGTGCACTCCGACCACTGCGCCAAGAAGCTCCTTCCCTGGTTCGACGGCATGCTGGCGGCGGACGAGGTGTACTTCAAGGCCCAGGGCAGGGAGGAGAGCTCTGCCAAATGGTGTGCGCTCTTGCCCTCGTCATCCTGAGGGAGTAGAACAAATGCAACTGGAGGATTGGGATGAAGGAGGAGGAGGAGGAGGAGGAGGAGGAGGAGGAGGAGGAGGAGGAGGAGGAGGGAGGAGGAGGAGGAGCAGGAGGAATGACAAAGGGGGAAGGTGGAGGTGGGAGGAGGCGGGGCGGGGAAGGATGAGGAGGAGGAGAAGGAGGAGGAGGAGGAGGAGGAGGAGAAAGAGGAGGAAGAGGACCAGGAGGAGGAAGCGGAGGAGGAGGAAGGAGGAGGAAAGATATGGGATCAGGAGGGGGGAGGAGGAGGAGGAGGAGGAGGAGGAGCAGGAGCAGGAGGAGAAGGAGGTGGAGGTGGAGGAAGAGGAGGAGGAGGAGGAGGAGGAGGGAGGAGGAGGAGGAGGGGAGGAGGGGGGGAGGAGGAGGAGGAGGAGGAGGAGGAGGAGGAGGAGGACGATGAAGGTTGAGGACCAATAGGGCAAATAGAGGAGGAGGGGGGAGGGAGGTAGGGCGTGCAGGAGGCAGGGGAAGGGAAGGAGGGGTTGATGGAGTAGGGAGAACGGGTGGAAATAGGGCAGGAGAAGAAGATGGAGGGAGGCAGGCAGGATGGAGGCGGAGAGAATGGAGCTCGCCACACGCGTCTGCGTGTTTTTGGTGTGTGTATGCACGTGCGCACGTTTCTTGTTGGCCCTACGTCTCGATGACCATCAGGACGTGATGTGGCTCGGTGTTCCTGCGTTTGCCCGCCCAACTCCACCGACAGCACGCAGCCCGTGCTGGCCCTCATTGCGCCACTTGCGTCGTGCTGAAGGGCCTCGGTGGACAAGCACACGCTGACGCCACTGCGCGTGCTGAGGTTCGTCGATCGAAGCTTGGGCGGGGGGGGATCGTGCGCGGGGCGCCCTGGCGTTGGCCAGGGGCGGCCGCGGACCACATGGCGCCGAGCGGCTGGAGCCACTACAGTCAACCCGCATAGTAAGGATGTGCAACCTTTTCAAGGGTACCTTGCATCCTTGCCTCCTCGCTGCATCCTTGGCCACTTCCGTTGGCCGCGCCCTGCTCGAAAAGCTTCGAAATGGGCGTCCAAGGCCCTTGCATCCTTACCGCGCATCCTTGCTATCCTGGTTGACTGTAGGATCTACCGCCCTCCCCCCCACAGAACTTGTCGGTACCCCCTGGGGTCCGCCGCGTGGGCTCTGCAAGCCAAGCTGCGGGTGTGCGGGCGGGGTGACTGCGCGAGCAGCGGAGCTGACAGCTCATGGCGAACAGGGCATTCGGCGGCGAGCAAGGGCGGGAAATGAGAAGGAGAAGTCCTTCTCAGAAGGCTCGGAGGTCCCCCGGCCTTCTGAGAAGTGTTCTTGGCCTTCCCGGAGTACACAGCACGCTTCTGAGAAATCCCGCCGTCTTCTGAGAAGGCCTTTTCCTTCTTACTTTCCCCCCTCGCTCGCCGCCGAAACCTTCGAGCACCAGGAAAGTACCCATGTTGGAGGGTTTTCACGTGTCGGGCCCTGGGAGACATTTCTTCGACACTGTTTCGTTTCGACACTCTTCCGGGTGCTCGACATTATTTCTGGGATGTGGTCCTTCAGTACGATGGGAATTTCTTTGTCGCCGCCCCAACGATCTCGTGGTCGTCTGCTCTTGTCTTCGCCCCCCCCAGCCGCGAAGGCCGCCAGAAGGGGGGCCGGGGCAGCGCCGCGCAGCAGTTCCCGCGCCCACAGCCGCACGCCGCGAGGAGGATCGAGGAGAAGCAGGAGCAACAGCAAGAGGAGGGAGGAGGAGGAGGAGGAGGAGGAGGAGGAGGAGGAGGATGCTGCTGCTGTTGATGATGCTGATGCTGCTGCTGCTGCTGCTGATGATGATGATGATGATGATGACGATGACGATGACGATGACGATGACGATGATGATGATGATGATGATGATGATGATGATGATGATGATGCTGATGCTGATGCTGATGCTGATGATGATGATGCTGCTGCTGATGATGATGATGATGATGAGTATATTGACGCTGATGATGATGATGATAATGCTGCTGATGATGATGATGATGATGATGGTGATGCTGCTGCTGATGATGATGATGGTGATGCTGCTGATGATGATAATGCTGATGATGATGATGATGATGATGATGATGATGATGCTGTTGCTGCTGCTGATGATGATGATGGTGATGATGATGATGATGCTGCTGATGCTGATGCTGCTGCTGATGACGAGGATGATGATGATGCGCTGATGATGATGATGATGATGATGATGATGATTGATGATGATGATGATGCATGATGATGATGATGCTGATGATGATGATGCTGATGCTGATGATGCTGATGCTGATGATGATGATGATGATGATGATGCTGATGATGATGATGATGATGATGATGATGATGATGATGATGATGATGATGATGATGATGATGATGATGATGATGATGATGATGATGATGATGATGATGATGATGATGATGATGATGATGATGATGATGATGATGATGATGATGATGATGATGATGATGATGATGATGATGATGATGATGATGATGATGATGATGATGATGATGATGATGATGATGATGATGATGATGATGATGATGATGATGATGATGATGATGATGATGATGATGGTGATGAGGAGGAGGAGGAGGAGGAGGAGGAGGAGGAGGAGGAGGAGGAGGAGGACGAGGACGAGGACGAGGAGGAGGAGGAGGAGAAGCGCAGCGTCTCATGAAGGTCTCCCGCTGCGCACGCGGGCGCGCGACGGACTACCCCCTGGCGCCGCCTACTCACGGCACGGTGCCGTAAGAGCAGGAGGCAATGTAGAAGGAGAGCAACTGGAAGAAATCGCCCCCCAAGGCCGTGGACGCAGGCCAACCTACCGCCGACGAAGGAGGCGTCGCCACCGAAGAAGACGCCGTGCCACCAGCCGACCGCGGAAAAGGCAGCGAATCACGACATGGTCGATCAACGCGCCGCGTGGCTGCAAGAGGAGCCCCCCTGCGGGGGCGGCGCTGCTGGGGTACGTCGGGCACGGGGCGCCAGGCCCTTCTCGACGCGCCTGATCGCATCTTGCTGGTTGCGGCGCGTGGACTCGTTGGGCGAGAGCCCATCGCACCTCAAGCCGAGCTTCCGCACTGTGCGGACATCTCCCGCAGCACAGTGATACCCGCAGCGCCTGCGACAGTAAGCATTGTTACCCCTGAACACGTCGTGCCCAAGCGCAGCGAAGGCGTCTCCGACCTCCTCGGCCAGGGCAGGTGGCAACAAGGCTACGAGGGCCGGGGGCTGTGAGCTCCCTTCGAGCGCCAAGGCCGCGCCCAGTGCCATGACAGCCCTCTGGTCGCTGCAGAGAACCCAGCCCTCGCCGAGGGCGCGGAAGTACTCGGCGTCGAGAGCTCTGGCAACGCGCGAAGGGCGACGTACGCGATGATATCCAGCTAGCAGCGACTCGAGGGGGGAGTCCGCTGCGGCCGTGACCCCGCATTGGGTGCATCGGCGCCGCCCGAGGCTGGCGCAGTGAGCAAGGACGTGGTCCGTACTGCGTGCCGCCACAATGGGCCTGGCCTGCTCGCGAGGTGGCCTGGGGGCCTCCACGTCGCATCCCCATTGTTTGCGAGCCGCCGCCTGCAGTGCCGCCCGCGAAATGATCTGCAGGACCTTGCGGTGCCGTTTCAGCGCAGCTGTTGCCGCCTCAGCAACCGACCCAGCCAGCGCGTGAGAGGCCGCGCCGCAGCGCGCGAAGTAGTTTGCCCAGCTGCGGCTCTGTGCCCGTGAGCTCCCCCAAGGACCTGCGCGCTGGCGTCCGTCGGAACTTGGGGGGGGGGGGGGGGGTCCCGCAGGGTGCGCCTGCGGCTGGCCGCGAAGATGCCCGCCACGCTCGAGCACGCTCGGCGCGACCCTGCTCGAGCTCGGGACACCGGCGCTCTCCTTCCTGGGCGAGCGCCAGCAGGTCAGTGACGAAGCGCTGGTGGTCAGGGAGAGCGTCGAGCCCCTCCCTCGTCGCGTGCCTCTCAGCTCGGCCGACAGTCTGCGCCAAGTACGGAAGGGGCCCAAACGGCGCCCTAACTGGGAGCCAAGAATATGGATCAAGCTGCGCAACAGCTTGTCCACATCTCCGCACCTCGGGAACACCTGAGTCGTAACCAGACCCGTCGGTGTAAGAAAGGGGCCCCACATGCCATGGGCGTCGCCCCGAAGGCAGACACCGTGCCTCCGCGTATCTGCGCGCGGCAGATAAGCGGGGGGCTCGGGTATGCCAAAAAACGAGGAAGGACTGCTCGAGGTTCGGCGTGCCTGATTCAAGACCCGCTTGGATAGGTTGGTCGCTCACCTCAGCCAGTGCTAGGGGGAGGTGGAAGATGCCGCGGCCATTCAGCGTTGGCGTCGCCGTCTCGGGCCCGCCGCGCCCGCGTGGTGCATCGGGCGCCGAGGCTGGAACCGCCGCCGCAGGGGGCAACGGGTCACTCTGTTCCGAAGCAACCGGTGGCGCACAGCGGACACTCTGCGCGTCCAGCCGCGCCTTCTCCTGATGGCCGTCGCACACATCGGGTGGCGCAAGGTCGACCTCTTCATCGACCCCTTGCCCGAAGCCTGGAAAGAAGTCGTCCTCGGCCTCCATGGTGCTGGGTCGGGTCGGCAGGGTCGGCAGGGTCGGGTTGGCCCGACTCGCAAGGTTGTCGCGGGCGTGCTGGCGCAGGTCGCCGAAGCCCTGCTGAGCACTGCTGTATTTCAGGGTTCTGCGCCTGTCGCAGGCCTTGGACATGGCCCGTCGGCCCCTGCCCCACGGGTCGCAGCCCCCCTGCGGGGGGGGGGGTCGGCGGCGCGGGGCGTTCCAAGAAGACATGGCCCCAGCAGTCATCGAGCGCAAGGGCCTTCCCGCAAGCCTGACAAGGGCGCATGGGCATGTCGAGCTTCATGTCCCCGCGGATCGGCATGGGTATGTTGTCAGACCATAGAGCCTGTAACGCTCCCAGTTGCCTTGCGGCGCGGGCGCCCTTGACCGCGCGCCTGGGCCCGCGGTGCCAGATGGGCGCACGGGCGTGGGGGTGCATGTGGCTGGCGAGGCGGTCGTGCTGCCAGCGCCGCGCGCCTTGCGCCAAAAACGGGCGCGGGTCAGCGGGGCGCGCGCGGTGCAGGTCGCGCTGGTTGCCCAGGTCGTCCTGCAAGACGTGCGGCGCTTTCGTGTCCCAGGCTGGCCGCCTGAGCGTCAACCGCGTCGCGGCCAGGGGGCTTTTGGCACTGGCCCAACTGATGGGGGCAAGCCGGTCATGGGGCGCTGTCCAAGCCCTTTGAAGGCGGCTAGGTAACGCGCGCCCATCCCAAATCCAGGCGGCGCAGTTCAAGACCAGGTCCAGCGTGGCATGATAGATGGGGTCGTACTCCTCCGAAGGGCCAGCAAGGAGGTATGCCGTGGCGCCCGCGTGGTGTTTGTCACTGCGCCCGTCTAGCACCGCGGCCAAGTTGCGCATCTCACGCAGGGGCGCGCCCACCAACCCCGGCACCCCAGCGCCGCGCCCTGCGGGCGGCATGGGCCCAGTCCGCCGCTGGGTGGGGGCCTTGCGCCCTGCCGCGCGACGCAGCATGAGGAGGCGGTGCTTGCGCTCCCGCGCGGCCGTCATGCGCTTCTTCTCAACCTTCCTTTGCACTCGAGGGCCATGCAGCTCGTGGCCGAGGTTGCGCATGTGTCGGGCTTGGGGCGCCGCCCGAGGCAGCCGCCGCTGGGCCCCGCGCACCGCGGGGCGGACCTGCGCTGTTCCAGCCACTACCGCGGACTCAGCAGGTTGGAGAATAAGCCCGAGGTCCCTGGCCTCTGCAGCGAGCGCCGTCGCAGCGCGCAGCGGCAGCTTGACATCACCGATGTCGGGGGAAACCATCTGCAGGCCGATGTCGCCCACCAGCGAACGCGGTTTGATTGTCGGCGCGACCCTGGTGGCCCGCTGGAGGACACGGTGCGTCAGCAGGTAGATGAGGTAGGTGGCATGTGTGCACCCCGCCAGCACCCCCTGAAAGGCGACGAAGGAGCACGAGAGGCTGCCGTGCGCCTTGATGCGCCGTGGCTGCTGGTAGAGCTGCAGCAGCATCCAGGCCGGGCGCGTCGGGCAACCCAGTTCCCGTGCCTCCCGCATGAGCGCATGGGGGGTCACCATATCAAAGCATTTCACCATGTCAAGGAGGATGGTACAAGTGTGGTCGCCGATTAGGCTTCCCACCTCTTGCTCGAGATTGTGAGCGGAAGCCGAGGCCGTGGATGTGTGGCTGCCTCGAGTCCCCCACATTTCGTCGCAATTATGATGTCGCTGCCACTCTGCCGACAGCCATCGCTGTTCTTTTGCCCGAACTCGTATGAGAGCATGGCTAAGCACAATCAGCCCGTGGCCACCATCTTGCTGAGGGAGACGGGCCATCTCACTATGCAGGCGCTCTGAGGGAAACCGTAAGTGCAGCTTAAAGACCTCGAACATCTGCGTCAACCTACTGAGGGCCTCATCCGATAAGTGCTCGAGCGCCCTGGGTGGAATGAGGGTGGGCCCCGAGGCGGTGGCGAGCGAGAACGGTCGGATGGCCTGCCGTAGGTCATGGACCGTCAGGCTAGGCAGCTCCTCCCACGTAGGTGCACCCCTGGGTAGAGGCAGCTCTTCCAGCCCATGGGTCGCCCAGATCCGCTTCCACTCGTCCATGGTGCGGTCCGCGAGGATGCATGGCTGGGCGTCGGCCTCGGGGGCAACGAGTCCCTGCTGCGCCCTGACCTTGGATGCAGCATGGGCAGCCTTCGCTCCCCCATTGAAGGTCGCCTGAGCCCAGCTGCGCCAGGCTCTCTCCGACGCGCCGCGAGCCGCGGCAGTGAGGTCCTCCGCGCGGCCCACGATGGCATCTACCATGTCATCAAAGTCCTCCGCAATCAGCCCGTCCAGCCCGCGCAGGAAGAACAGGTGGTAGCAGGGGTCGATTTTGGTCAGGACTTTATCCTGCCCGACAATGGAGCTCAGGAAGCAGAGGATGTCGTAGAACACGCTGGCCGTCTTCTGCAGCTGCCGGGGAGCTGGAGACGCATGCGCCGCCGCCGCATTCAACCGGTGACAGAAACGCTGGGCCCGATCACGCTCTGCACGAAGGTGAGTAAGCCCAGCGTGCCGCAGTAGCCCAAGCCCAGACTGTGGTGTCGTGGTACAGCCGCTTGCGAGGTGGCCCCCGCCGCAGCTGCCGCCGCTTCACCTTGGGGGGGCCGTGGTGCCCGACGAAGCGGTTGGCTCTGGGGCCAATTTTGTAATTTTGTCGCGATTGCCTGCGATCTCGTAGTCAATGCCCTGCAGAACGGAGTCCCCTTGCCTCGCCGACGGCCTGTCCATGGGCCCTGGTCCGGCGGCGGTAACGTGGGCCCGCGCGCCCCGATCGATCGCGCTCAATTTTGCCGAATGGACCAAAGTGATCGACGGACCTGCATCGGTCCCGATCGGGCCTGAACTGGACATGGTCCGTGCCAGCAACCTTGTGCGGCGCGGTGGCTGCTAGCGCAAATGGGCCATCCAAAGTATGCCAAGGAAAGGGAAAACGAGCGCAGCCAACAGGGGGGACAGCAAGCAGCGGTCGAGGCTCATCGGGGACGCGGCACCACGTCGGCGCGTCATGCCCATGCAGCTCCAGACACACAGCGTAGTGGGGTGTGGGAATGCTCCCACATGCATGTATCACCTCGGGCTGGCGAGAGACACGGGACGCGAGGTTGCTGGCCGCCAAGAAGTAGTCGATGGTGGACACTCCGTTGGAGGTAACGCACGTAGAGACCGACGGCTGGAGGAGAGTGCCTGGCAAGGATCCAACCCAGTCACCAATGTTGATACTCTGGCCGTCGGCGTTCAAGTCGCCCCCGATGATCCATTCGAGGCCGCGTGCGTTCCACGCCGCCACGCGTTTCGCGAGCGCCCATAGGATCGAGAGGTTGGCCTGTGACGCCGATGCCCTGAACCAAGTACACGCTGACGACAATCAGACCACCAGGGACACCCCAGTGAACATGAGCTGCCGCAACATGATGTGGAAAGACGGCATGATCCCCGTCGGGGGGGCATCGTGACCATCACGTTGGTAGGCGCGAGCACGCAGACTCCACTCGAGCGCGACGCCGCGGACGCTCCTCCCGTCTCCTCGGCAGGAGCCCAGAGGCCGTGCCAACCTGCATCGCGCGCAGCAGATTGAACGACCCCAAGCCGCTGGTCGACCACCTGCGTCTCCTGGACCGCCGCCACCTTGCCGAGGAAGTGCGGCAGGAAACTGAGAAGTGGCCCGTGCGAGCCAGGGTTGACCGTGACCAGCTTGGCCGCCACCTGACAGCGCGCGTCGCTAGCATCAGGCATGGCCGTGCTGGGGCCCTGCACAAAGGGACCGCGACCCTCTGGCGTGCTAGCGTCGCTGTCGCCAGCTCGGTATCGAGGTGGTGCTGTCCGCCAGTTGCGGAGCATGCCCGCGGACTGGTCAGCCACCGAGTGTGGGCAGATTTTGTGGCTGACCAGTCGGGGGCTTGCTGACCCACCGCTGTCGGGGGCTCCAGCAGAATCCACCTCGAACAGGGTGAATAGGCACCAGCACAGCACCAAGGTCCATCCACGCGGGCGCGCCGCACACGGTGGAGACGCGTGGGCTGGAGTACAGGTTGACGGCGGCGGGCTAGAGCAGTAGTGGCCACTAGCAGGAGACACGCCGTGCTCTCCGCCCAGCGGAGGCGGGCCCATGCAGCCAGGACGCGACCTAGGAGCAACGTGTGCATAGTACGTGCTGTTCTTTGGGCGCCCCTCGTTAACCCTGACATTCCGTGCATCTGCGCATGGTGCGTGCTGTCAGTGCACGGGAGGCCACAGCTGACATTCCGCCCATGGGACTTCCTGTCAGCTTGATGGCCGCACAGCCCGTCACACCAGGCTGACGCATAGCACTCACATCGAGTGGTCTGCGCATGGCGCGCGCCATTCGTGTAGCCGCGCTGGCAGGCGCTGCCCTCAGAAAAGTGGCCGATCGAGCCTTCTTCTTCCTCTTGTGCGCCGTCGCCGCATGCGTGAAGGAGTCGAGGACGCGCTTGTGCGCCACCCGCATGTCCGCGTCGATGGCGTCGTCAGGCTGCGTGAGTCCTGCCGCCTCCAACGCCTTCCGCAGCTCGGCGGACTCCATGAGTTCGATGTTGATCTCCATGTCGTCCTTGGCAGCGTCCTCAGCAAGGGCCTGCACCTGGCCCGCGAGGAGAACGGCGGTGGACGCAACTCCTCATCGTTCTTCCCCAGCAGGGGTCGCAGGAGCAGGGGCAGCAGAGGGCGCCTGTGCCGCCGGCGGCTTCGCCTGGGGAAGCTCATGAAGCCTCCCGCAGACTTTGGCTTCCGTCTCCAGCTCCGCCCGAAGGCTGGGGTCCAAGCCGAGCTCCACGGCCAACTCGCCAAGTTGCTGGACGTTGACAGCGAACTTCGGCAGCAGCTCATGGAGCGTGGGCTTGCCAGCAGTGGGCGGAGGGGCTCGGTCGGCGCTCGAGCGCTGGACCTCCTCCTCCAGCCGCAAGACTTCGGCGCCTGCAAGACTTCGGCGCCTGCCTCGGCCAAGGAGTCCTGGAGCACCGCCTGCTTGGCAACCAGCTCGTCGATGACCAGCTGCTTCTTAGCGTGCTCCTCGCGAAGGCGCTTGGCCTTGGCGCGGGAGTTCCGCAGCCTCGTGGCGAGGGAGGTGACCTGATCCTCCAAGTGGCGCTCGGCGTCGAGCTCCTTGTCCAAGCGCTCCTTCTCTTCGGTGAGGGACTTGACCTGCTCCAGGTCCGAGGCCGCGGAGGATCCATCATAGACCTTAAGGAGCTCATTGATCTTCTTGATGCGGCCACGTTTGACCTGCTTCTCCGACGGGTCAGCGGTGCCTCCGTTGTCACCAGTGGGAACCCCATGGGGGCACCCACTGTCCAATCCGACGCCCGCCCCAGCAGCAGAAGCACTCCCCCCAGCAGCAGCAGCAGCCCAAGGAGGAGACGACTTGGCGACCGTGAGCGTCTTGACCATGGCCTGGAGGTCGGCAAGCTGCTTAGCCATGGAGCCAGTGCCGGACTTATCCTTAGATGCCTTGGGTGAGCCCGTGGACTTGGTCGCAGGGCTCCCTTTGGGCGTTTTGGGACCACCGTAGCAGACTCCTTGTATGCAGGGTGCATTTGGAGCACTGCTTGAGGTCGCCACGGTTGATCCACGGCGTGACGTCCCTCGTGACGCAGTCCTTGCAGCGCCAGGGGTCAGCAGCGAAGCGGCGCGACATGGCGGCAGCCAGGCCGCAGTAACCGTTTATAGTCCAGGAGTCCGGGGGACGCCACCCACGAAGCCCAGACGCCAAAACTTGGCTCGCAGGAGAGAAAGAGCCCTTCCCACTGTTTCTACCCCTGCAGACCCGACTCGGGCCAGAAAGGGCTGGAGGAAGAGGAGGAGGAGGAGGAGGAGGAGGAGGAGGAGGAGGAAGAGGAGGAGGAGGAGGAGGAGGAGCAAGAGGAGGAGGAAGAGGGAGGAGGAGGAGGAGGAGAAGGAAGAGGAGGAGGAGGAGGAGGAGGAGGAGGGATGAGGAGGACGCCGACGACGACGGTTCGAGCGCTTGGCCGTGGGGCTCACGGTGCCGCGCGTTGTGGCGCGCAGGGTGCGGGCCGCCTGCGTGCTTCGGCGCGGAGGGGCGCGCGCCGCACTCGGAGCAAAGCCGTGGGCTGCCCCTGCGGCTGTACCCCTCTCTATCTCCACCCTCCTCAACCCTCCACCTCCGCCTCCACCACCTCCTCCACCACCACCTCCACCTTCACATCTTCCTCCTTCCTTCTCAACAACATCCTTCTCCTGCTCTTCCTCCTCCTCCTCCTCCTCCTTTTCTTGTTCCTCTTCCTCTTCTCTGGTTTCCTCTGCTCCTCCTCCTCCTCCGCCTCCTCCTCCGCCTTCCCCTCCTCCTCCTCCTCCTCCTTCTCCTCCTCTTCCTGGGCAGTGTTCAATGCGGTCTGGACTCAGCCTTTGTGCGGGAGACGTGTGGCGTCGGTTTTCGTTTGCAAGCCCCCAAGTGTGGTTTTCTGGCCTCGTCTAGGGAGGCTGCGCGGGCGGTCAAGGTGCAGGCTGCGATGTGTAAGCTTTCTGCTTTTCGGTCTGCGCGCGATTTAGGGCATGGAGACGTCTGAGTGTGGTCCTGGGTCGCCGTGGAAAGCTTCGTGTCCTGAGGAGGGCTGGTGGGGTGAAGGCTCGGCCTCTGTGGCGGACAGGTGTCATGTCGTCAGGTAGCCATGGGGCCGGGGTCATCGGCCTCACCGATACCACGCTCATGAAGCTTCGTACTTTTGCTGGCGAGTAGGTAGGCGCGCAAAGGCCTGTCCTCCTTCACGGCCCACGCGTGCATGCAGAAGGACCGGCTGTACGACCTCACCTTTGATGCCACCTGTCCCTTACTTGCCCGCTATGCTAGTTGGATCTGGGAAGGTCGCACCTCCCCGTCCCAGCTCCGTGCCGCTTGGCAGGCCATTCACATTCGATTGGTTCCCAGTGGATCCTGGCGCATGTGTTTTGGACCGATCCCGGCGGTGATCCTGTCCCTTCGGCGGATCGGCTGGGACATGGCGGCGCTCCGCGCTTTGCTCTCGGATCGAGGTGAGGCCGTGTCCCTCTACGAGCACTCGCCGTCGAATGTACGAGCTCTGGTCCGAGACGGCGTGGGACGGCGTGGAGCGCTGGCTCTGGCGCAGGATCCCGTTGCACTGGCCAAAGGCGCCGGGCACCGCAGACGTTTGGATCCGAGCGTCACCACCTACCAAGCCACCCAAACCCAACCCGACGGCCTCAATTTGCCCTCCACTTCCAGTGGGGGGGGTCGGGGAACATTGAAAACACACATGGAACCCGTACCCCCCCCAACTCGAAATTCGGGTCAAGTTCGGGCCTTCGGGTTGGGTTGGGGTGGTCTGGTAGACAGACAGAGCGATGCGCCTCGCCGTGCTGTCCCTCCCAGCCGGTGCCCGTCAGGGGTCGGCTGGGGCCTTGCTGCCCGCAAGTCTTTGGCCCCCCGAGGCGCAGATTTCAGGCCGGCCTGGTGCGCGTCGGGGAAGTGCAAGTCGTGTGTGGTGCTGAGCGCGGGACGCGCGGCCACCAGTTTTATGATTGTCCTTCGGGCTTTACTCGGTATCGTTTAACCGATCCCCATCCCCGTCCCCATCGCTTTCGAGACCCCCACCAAATTGCCACCCCAGTTGGGGATAGTTACACCCCTCGAAACCTGAAGGGAACGACGTATTTCCCCATCTAGGAGAGTAAATCGGCCAGTGGGGCCCAGGCCACGCCGCTGGGGATGGGGATCGGTTAAACGATACTCGTTTACCTCGCAAGATGATGAGGATTCGCCGCCGCCGTCTCCAGAGGATGTTTGGCAGCGCAGGCGGGACCTTGGGAAGCAGGGCACCTCTCCCCCTGGGGGGTTCGTATCGGGGTGTGGCTTCTCTCCTCTTATGGTCTCCCTCGTGTCCCTGTAAGGCTCTGCCGCCGCCGCTTCCTCGCCCCTCGGTGCTGGATCGGGGTTTGCCCAAGGCATTCGGGGCCCGACGCTCTGCACGGACTGCAGTGGTCTGGCCGGCGCGTGTCCCGAGGCGGCTCGGCGTGGCTGGAGCGTGGCTGAGGTCACGTCTGGCGGCTGGCCCCTCCGAGCGAAGTTCGGAGGGCTGTCCAGGCTCTTCCAGACAGTGCCCGGGGGTTTGGGTGGAGGGCAAAGGGTGAAATCTGAAATGCCGTTTCGATTGGTTTTCGAGCCTTGACTCTGCAAAAGGTGAATCACAAGACGGATGGATATTCGAGGTGCAAAAGCCGACATGGATTTCACCCTGAACCCTCCACCCTAAGAAAATGCCCAGGCGCTGGGCCCGCCTGGAGGCCATGCGTTTGGGCCTCCATAATTGGTGATCGCTTGAGTTTGGTTCGTGAGGGCCAGGCTTGTGACCCCTGTCTTGAGTCGGGCCTTTCGCGTAATGCTGCCATCAGGAGGAAGGTTTTTAGAGTGTCGGGGAGGTCTGGTGGCAGGCCAGCTTTTCTGTGGTCTCCAGCGCACAGGACGCTGGAGGAGCTCGTCGAGGCGCAAGCGGTGCCCGACGTGCTTTGGCGGTTCATGGGCAATGCGTAGGCCGATTTTTTCGCCAAGTTAGGGGTGAAGGATGTGGCGAGTGTGATTTTCCCCCTCCTAGGGCTGTAGAGCGCAGGTGTGATGAGCTTGTTCTGATCGCGCACGATCCTGTGCCACTGGCCCCTGGCTCGACGACTGGCGGTGCAGCGCGGGCGCTGCTGGGCTGTGGCGAAGGCCCCCTCGAGCGTCACGGCGCTCCCGAAGCCGGGGGCCAAGCGTGTGCTCCGCCTCCCGTGCTCCAGGCCTCGGCCCGGGCCGTGGAGCAGATGGGGTGGCGGTCCCGAGCGGGAGGGAGGGGCGTAGCAGCGGAGAGGGGTGGACTTCTGGGCTTCTTTTCGAGCGTGCGATGGCCACCGGGTCCACTGCACGGGGCCGTTCTTTTCTCTCCTCCTCTGTGGGGCGCGGGTGGCAGTCGGCTCTCTCAAGATCGATGCCCTCGGGGAGGCCTGTCCCGCGGCCCCCCTGAACCCCGCCCGTCGGCGAGCAAGGGGCTGGCTCGCTGATGGCAAGCACCCTTCTACAGGTACTGTGCTGAGTACTTGATTAATTTGTCGACCAGATCGCCGACTGGCTCAAGAACTGGACGGGTCAATCATTTGACCCTTCCAGCGGGCAGCGGGCATTTGTTGGGTTTCTCGCTGGCGTCGGCGGGTTTACCACGCCATCCCTTCACTAATTGTATGTTAGTGTGTTGTGCACCTGATTTTCAGGTGTGCTTCCGTAGCATGGCCAGGCTGTGTTTCGTTTTCGGATGACTCATTATCCTATGGCTCCGCTCCGCTCCTCCTCCTCATCACCCCTCTTCCTCCGCCTCCTCCGCCTCCTCATCCTCCTCCTCTTCCCCCACGCCCCGAAGCCATTTTGGCTCAAGTAAGTTGTTCTGGCCCAGGTGTTGATTCCTGAGCTTGCAGCAGCAGTCTTCAGAGCGGCAGTCGCTGCTGTGAGCCTTGGCTCGGTTTCTTCCTTCAGTTCGTGGGATCTCAACCCACACTCTTTCATCATACGAGCCCGCTGGGCTCTCATGGCCAATGGAGGTGCTGAGGTCCTACCTGGACCGAGGGCGCTTACGTGGGCCTGCATTTGTGGGCGCAACACCAACTGGACGTCCAGGATCGTGTGCAAGGGCGGCAAGAAGGCCCCACCTGACGTTCGCCGCGCAGCAGAGCAACATGCGCGCGGCCAGCACCACCGTCCTCGTGGTGCTCCTCCAGGTGGCGGTGGCAGCCGCGATGGCAAGCTCCAGCAGCGTGTGCACGAGCTCCAGCGTAGGTTTGACAAGCTGGCCATGGGCGGGGCCACCAGTGGAGGAGGCCAATCGACGACCAGCACCAGTGGCAAGGACCCGCCGAGGGATCCCAAGGAGCAGGAGCTACGAAACGGCATCAAGCAGCTCGAGGTGGCCATCTCTCACTGCGAGAAGCTTGGTGAGTAGGGCAAGAGTGCAATGGCTGAGTTGGAGGTCGAGCTCGAGGCAGTGCGTCGTGAGCTCCTCCAGTGCAAGCCCCAGCTCACGCAACACACCAGCGTGGGCCATCGCTTGGCAAGTGCAAAGGGTAAGAAGCAGAGACTTGAGCATCATGCCGAAGAACAGTTACTCTTCATTGCAAGTGCTCAAGAGAAGAATTGACGGTATGCGGGCACAGGTTGCAGCGACGGATCGTGAAATTGAGCTCCTCAGCCGAGACCACATCCGTACTCTTCCTGGTATTCCTGTTATGGA